CACTCTCGTCGAGCGTAACGGTACACACGTGCGCGCGAGCACGCGGAAATCGCCGTTTCAGCGGCGAAATACTTATCTCGCGGCTGACCTTAAAATTCAAAGCGCCGGCTCGCGTGAATGATTGCGCTCGCCGTTGTGTAGCGGCCCCCATTGCGACGACACTTATACTCCAAACGAGCGTGCACTTCGTGGTGCAAGCGCTGTCTTATTAAAGTTAAAGGGTGGTGATCATGCACCGCTGCACGTGGCGAGCACCTGCCACTCGTGCCACTCGCGCGGAGAGCGGCATTCGAGCGCGCGCGCTCTCCTTTGCGCAGAGGACGTGTGCGAAAGAGAGGAAAGGGAATCGGAGGGACATAATGGGAGGAAGAAATCGCGAGGACATTCGGGGAATAAAGGGACGACATCGGCGACGACGTCGTCGTCGGGAACGCCGTTGATCCGCCGATATCGTTAATCACATTATGAGCCTGATTGGCGGGACCATTAGCTCGTCGGCGTTTGCCCGATAAAAGTGAAGGATCCCGCTAGCGGCCGGACGCGGGGGAAAGTCGCGTCGGAAGTTCGAGCCTAAGTACGACGTTGGGACGGGCGTCTTTCCCAAAGTCTAGACGGCGGCGGCGACCTCGCGTAACGCGCGCGCGAGATTACGTTAGAAAAGAAAGAGACAGCGAGAGAGAAGGAGGGATAGATAGGGGAACTCTACGGCCGTTATCTCCCCGGCCGTAACAAGCGCTAATTAACATACCGCTGGATTAACATACATACTCGAGAATCGGCGGGTAACCGATTATACTCTTTCCGAGCGCGGTGAGATTCCGCAAATACAACCGCCGCTATGTATACGCATACAGATAAGCGGCTGTTTTCGGGTAACCTCGAGTATATATCGGGTACGACGAACTTTTGCAACGGAGAGAGTTACGTCATTCGCCGGCCGGTAATTGTTGTTACTCGATTACTCGGCCGGGGTCGACGAATTCCCCGATGTGAGATAAAATTTAGTAATTCGCCGTGAGAGAGAGAGAGAGAGAGAGAGAGAGCGAGCGAAACGCGTTCTTGAAAACCCTTGCGAAAATCAACACGCTAGTCGGTCTCCTCGGGTGTCACGTATGTCATCACATATAGGGTTCTTATAAACCTACCTGCCGTAACTCACCCGCCGGCCGGGTTGAATCGACAAAAAACGACCATCTTGACTTTGAAATCTCACTTTAGATCTAACGAGGTAGAGGGATAAAAAAACATTGACGTTAGAACGATCCGATGACGCGCGATTGAGAGAAGAGGCGCGAGACAGATTTGCCCCGTGTGTGAGCGGCGATCGCTTCGTCGGAGAGCAGCTCTCTGAAGAGATCGACCATCGCTAACCTCCGCGACCCGTGAAGAAAGCGTTATACGTGGGATTCGCGCAAAACCATTCTCCCTCTCTCTCTCTCTCTCTCTTACTTCCTTCCTCTTCTTCTCCCTCGTTCGTTTGTGCGTGTAATTGGCGAGACCGCGAACGTTCGCAAAACCAAACGCTCGAGGAAGCGCGAGTGCCCGGCGAGTCGTAAAACGCGTCTCCGCGGATCTCCCGACGAGAATAGTCAATCCAGCGAGACACCAGGTCCGTGGATCGCCGGACAGAATCGATGCTTTTTGTCGGCCGACCCCGCGGAATCGCCGGCACGCGCAAGAAACTCGTGTCAGTGCCGAGGCAACTAGTAAGAACCGCCGGCATGTTAAAGGTGTTACATGCGGTCACTACTTTGAGGTGATATTTTCTATCTCCAACCTCGATTCTCCGTGCCTAGCTCGACCGTCTGCCGCTTCCTCGTGACCGATCTACTCGGAAGCGATCGATTGCGAATTTTCATAAATAATAATAATAATAATGATCTTTATTATTATCAGGGAGGCACCTTTTAATATATATAATCAAGTGAAAATATCATTAGGCAGGGGAAAACAGAATTATAAAATATATAAGTAATGAGTTGATAATATAATGAAAAGCTGAAAACTCATTAAATCGTATGCAATACGGAATGTTTAAATATTGTCAAATTACTCTGAAAAAAGTTTACAGAATAGGAGAACAAGATAGCAGTTAATAATCTGTCCTCATATGGGAATTAAAATCACATAGACTTCAGTGATGTTCAATGTGAAAAAAATAGGAAGAATCTTAGAGGTTTTGGCGAAACGTTTAATTTTGACAATTCTAATATACGTGAGCAGCCAACTAATTTTATCAATTAATATTAAAATATTCTGATTTATGTTATCAATTAATATTAAAATATTATCATTTAAGAGATTAGATATAAAAAGATCTATTATCGTCTGTCGCAAAGATAGTATATGTCTACTAAGAATCGGCTGATAATTATAACATGTTATTATTATGACTGTGCCTAGATGATAACTCGATAGGCGCAGAAATTTGTGTTGCACGCGTTCAATCATATCATATCATTTTTCTTCAGTGACAACTTTTAGTCTTATATTTTTCCCTCATATTTCTGTTTTATACATATAACTTTTCCGTTTTATATAACTTTATCATTATTTTCTATGTTACAGTTTTATGATTTTTTTCTAAATGAACAAATCAAGACCAATCATATAACAAAATAATACGAGGTGGTTTGAGAGTTTTCCAGATGAACGCGAACGAACGCATTGATAATTGAAATTTTTTCTGACCAAATCGTGATCTTGATTCTTCGAGAGAGGTTGCAGCGGACGAGATAAGCAAGCGGGCAGATATTCTGCGCCATACTACTTCGAGCCGTCATCTATATCGTTCAGTCGGTTCGATTCGATTTTCAAGGACACGAGCGGCGTCGGCGGCAGGTGTCGCCGGATCGCAGAGATGACCTGACTTTAGCTCTCATCATCGTTGCCGATTGTTCCGCGATCGGAGGCGGTGGTCGGCCGCCGAGAGAGTCTCGTGCTCGTTAAGCGGCCGTATTCATACCCCGAGTGAAGAATATAAAATTTTGTGCTGTTCGATTTTTTCTTGCTCGAGGTCGCACAGTTCGCGCGCGCATCCTCTCTACCTCGGCGTCTACCTCAGCGAAGGCCTTCAGCGTCGTCTCGGCGTCTTGTATAAATGGGTCAATATTATTCGGGACTCAGAGCCGGCGTGGAAATTTCGTCGACGTTCTATATCGTATATTTACCCCTATTCTCGTCCGTGTCTCAGTTATCGCGTTTTCATCATCATGAAGAAACACCGATATCGCTTATGTTTATCAAGATCGTTAACATCAACGCACGAAAATTTACATCTGAGACACTATGTCGACCTCAGTGGGAAATTTTTGAAATAATTAATATTGCTATACGCGTTCATGGCATGTATCGATAAGAAGACGGAGAAACGGGTCTTCGACTTCAAACGGCGTACTTTATCGCACGGTTGCATTTTTCGTGTCTAGTCTGGCTGTGTGATAGGACTCTGTTTACTTTGCTTCTCCTAAATAGATACCACGAATCGATACTATCACCAAACCACCACCGGGGCCGAAGGCCTCCTATGTTATATACTTGTTTGTGTTCATGGGAAATATAATAATTCCCTTTGGCACAATAGAATACATTATACAATTTGTAAAACCATTAAGTTAACTGTAAATAAAGAAAACAAATAAAAATTAAATTATAAATTATAAATAAAAAAGATATTTAATAAATTTATTTCTAAACGAGCTGTAAGACATATTAAAAGGCAATATTGCTCGAATGTACATTGGTCGATATACTCAGCCGATTAATAGATTTAAACTTACCAGAAATTAAAAAAAGAACATATAAATGTAATAATCTATTATTAAATGATATATATTTATATTTCATTGCTTATAGCAAAATATATATTATATGATATACGTAATTCAATATATTATAATATAAATAATTTTATTATAATACCTTCATAATATAAATATATAGAATAAAGAGCAACAAATAGTACTATCTTGAATAACCTTGGAATATGAGAGTAGGTGAGAAATTAATCTAACGGAAATTGCATCGATACCAATCACTTCGAGCGCTTTCTGTAAACGTAAACTTTTTTCCTCTTCTCCAAATCGTTAATAAAATACTTCTCGAAGTTTCTATTCGCAAAGTGTGTAACAGTTACGGCATCACCCTATGCAGGGATGGCAACGGCATGTGCTAAAATACCACGAGATTTTTCCAAATCTTCTACCGAACTTGGATTAACGGGATTGAGTTGTGGGGACAAGGAAAGCGGATATTGTTGCAGATTTCGGGCTACACGAGTCTCTTTTATGGATTCCTCAGCGGTCAGTTTGTCCCGAGACAAAGGGGAGACGCCTATGAAACGAAGCAGGAAGGCGCTCTCTCCGCGGTCAGGATCGGAAGGAGTGGACGCGAGCCGGGCTGCAACGGGCGCGACAGAGACGCGGACAGCCGAAAATTGCGGTTGCCGGCGAGAACCCGTCTGCGAAAAATAGAGGAGCGTCTAAGAGTGATTGGGAGGGACCAGGGAGAATCGGTCTCCTCTACCTGTTCGCCGGATCCCACTCGGCTCGTGCTCCCAGCGGACGAGCTCACCAGCCGAGAGACGTCTTTCGAAAAAGTGATTTCATTGAGAGAAACGGCCGACGCCGCGTCGAGAGCCGCGGCGGTTCATTAAGATAATTTACACGTTCGGATACCGGCCCGTTTTTCTTTCTTCCTCTTCATCTCTCTCTTTCGCTTTTTTCTCCCCTGTTTTTTTTTCGCGAATGAATACCTCGCGTGCGGCCCTCTCGACGTCGGGAGCTACAATCTAGCGAATCGCGGCCAGCGCAATAATGTATCGTCGATTGTTACGAACGAAAATGGTTGAATGACGGTCGAAGCGATACGAGGAAGCGGCGTTTCGCGAAACGTCGATAGAGATCAATCGGAATCGTCCGACTGTCGTAGCAAAGACAAAGATATAACACCTATTCAGATTTCGCAATATTGTACGCGATATATTTCTGATGATAACTCACCAAACGAAACGTTCCAAGTCAGAATACCCCCTTAAACCCGAGCCAGATGCACACACGCACGCGGAGAAATCCCCTTTTCGAACGGGATCTCGCGATCGTGCTGTTTTCACCAAAAGAATATTACAAGCGTGCTAGATATATTCCTCTAACTGAAAAAAAAAAAAAATGTTATTATATAGGACGCGTGAAATTGACGCGACGGTTGTTCACACACACACACACACACACCGCAATATCCCGCTTTCACCGTCCGGGCGAAATCAACGACTCCCGAATGCAATTAGACTAACGATATAATCTGGAGACACACGAGAGTGTTCGCTTACACCGTCACTCTTGTCGCGGCAAAATGTCCGGAGCAAAATTGTCGTCGGTTACACGCGCGCGGTCCGCCGCGAAGTCTCAGCGTCCTTTCTCTACCCGAAGAGACACCGAGCGAAAATCAATAATTGTGAGTCGTTTTTCGGTGAATCCTCCGACTGATCTCCCCCTGGTCCTCCCGTATTCCCGAAAAAAAAAGATCAAGATTTAATCTTCCGGCGGTGTGTCTACTCGTTCGCAAATTATACACCTCTACGAGAGCTACGCCACACGCGATGAGGCTCGTCGCTAATCCGAGGTTCAAGATACATATTACGTAGATCTGATATGTCCCCCCTCGCTCCCCGTTTACGAGGACACATCATGTTTGCACATCGAAGGAATAAACTCCCGACGTGTACGAACCGTGGACATTCACGATTCACGTGAAGCGACTATCTTTAGATCGCCGGCAAAAAAGCCGCGTCCCTCAGAACCGCGGTGTCTAACAGACACGTGCTACTTAAACATGCATTAATGATCGTGCCGTGAACGACGTGTTTATGAGCGCGATGCAGGTGAGAGAGAGAGAGAGAGAGAGAGACGCGGCGCACATTGTGGTTTCTGGTATTAATCGAGCGGGCGCCTTGTTCGGCTACCATGTAATCTAAGAAATGAGGAGGCGATGAGCCGTGAAGAGAGGAGAGTCTGTGCACTTTCGTCCGTGCGAATCCGGCCGGTGCTTCCTTTTTGCTCGCGAGACAGGTCAGCGTGACCGCCGTCTTCGCCGCGGCCGCGAGGCTAAGTTTCTAATGATTCCTTCGTGCGATCGGTGTGTGCGTATCGGTGATCGCGGATTTTACCGATAATTTCCACCGCGGGTAATAGCGACGGAATGCGCACGAACGGGACGAGCGCATTCTCGGGCGTTTTACATAATCAACTCGGAACGCTTTTCCAGCGAGTCGTGTCGGAAAGTGTCGCGTTCGAGCGCTGTTCGACGTCTGTTCTGTAAAATATGAAATTTGTCGGAAATATGGATCGCTACTATGTATACACGGTGTCATGTCTGTTATTATTCCCCGGATTGAAAATCACACGATTTTCAGCCTTACATTTGGACACACGTAAGAACGAAACTTTGAGAAACTAAGAACAACGATTCCAAGTGTTGACCAAAAACTTTTACTTTGCGAAAAAAATCACTGCGGTATGGGAAGGCATACATAACGCAATATTTACATCGCGAACCCAAGACCGTGCTCTTATTTTTCTAGACGTTATTTATACGTCCTGATTCTATTTGTTTATTTGATTTTTTTTATTTCTCTTCAGCCGACTTATTTGTTTATCTTTATTTATTCAGATATATTACCGTCTATCGCTTGTGTCACCGACAAGGTTTCCACACTAATCAAACCCTCACATCCCGGTCGTGCATTTGAAGTCCCGCCCCTTCCCTGCAGTCTCCCTATTTACGTTATGATAAGGTACCGGATGCAGTTATCAAATTTGCAGATAAGGAGAATCTCTCTCTCTCTCTCTCTCTCTTTCTCTCTTTTTCTCTTTTTCTCTTCTTCTCCTCCCTCTATCTGGCATTTGCAATATTTGATGTCGTACTGCTATTCCGAGAAAATCTCCCACAATAGAAAATGTGCATTTTGGTGCAACTAGGTCAGGCCGCTATTTAGGTTAGAACGTGAAGGCTTCCTAAGGAGTTCAAAGGATCATCCCGAAGGATTTCTTCTCGCTTTTATCTACGCCTTTTTCGTCCTGAACTATTAGTTTTTCATTTGACCGAAATCGGATTTCAAAACTAATTCTCGCTGCGATCTATGTCCCGACAAAAATATCCGTCATATATTTGGAAGGACAGATCGTTGAAATATTACTCGCAATATCAATTTCTTTTTCTTTTCTGCTCCTACGGAATAGATCGCTCACGTTTTATCTGTATACTTGTAGAAAAAACCGTTTGCAAAACAAAGCGCAGAAAATGTTCTGAAATTGCCGGCTCATCTAAGATCTTATTTCGGACGCATACCGGATACTAAACACGCCTTTCTGATCCCGAAGCTGTAACAAGTACCTGTGACGCTCGGAAATAGCGGGACTTAGAAAAAGAGAATAGAATATATCTAGTGTTCCTTTTCATCCAAAAATCTTTGTAGGGTGTTAAAAATGAATAGGGTTAGGAAAAGGCTAACGGTAAAAAGGACCAAAGCGCTCTGATGGGAATAAAGGAACAGCAGGATGGTCATCTTTGGCCGCAACATATTTTCGACGGAATGGTCGTTAATTTAAATGCGGATGCGCACAATACCGATGCGGAAAAGCTAGGCGCCGGCACCTCTCACTTCGTCTTCCGGCCTATTTGTTGATCTAAACAAACTTAGCTTCCACTTTCCGAGCTTTTTCTGTCAGTTGTGCCGCTTTATGTTAAATTTATGTTACATTGTGTTCGAATTATAAATCTGTAATACGAAAAACTCGCGAAAAATATGAAAGCAAAATGATTTTTTTGTCAATCTGCACTTAAAAATTTTTACCATTTTTTTCGATTGCGCTAAGTTATGTTAATATTGTGTTAAAGTAGTACTTTTGAAAAATAAACGAAATTAATAAAACGAAACAAAAACAAATTTTAGGCAAAACAGAACAAAATGAACGTTTACCTTTGTACCAGTTAGTCAAACAGTATATAATTGCATATCTGAGTTGTGCTAGCATAGCATAAGTTAGCACAAGCTCCGGTCTCGTCGGCACATAAATTTTCAAAACACTCTGTTCTTAATTTGTGCTATGCTAGCATCTTTCACTTTTTTCGCATTACAGGCATTTTTCGTATTACAGGTTTATAATTCGGGCATAATGTAGCACAAACCTAACACAAATCACAGCTATCAAAATAAGTTAACTCGAAAAGTGGGGGGCTAACTTTATCTAGGCGTTTCGTCGTCCTTGAAATTTCCAATTTATATTTAAAACCAGTTGGCAGTTCGGACAAGAACGTCGGCTCGCTTGCAATAAATCACGGCGCAATCAGTAGATTAAATCCCCGAGTAATATCTAGTCAGCCTGAGTCGAAAGGTAGTAATTAGTTATAGTACAGGCTAAATTATAATTTCTAACTCTTTACTAGTTCGTTACTGGCTGATCATTCATTAAAATGTAGAATTAGTTTGTTTCTATCCGTTGTCCAACCGTATCAAATACATAGAATAGATGATGCTGTCTATTTTAAATTATACAATTTAACTGTTACATACACGCTAGTAGCATTTAAAAATAAGGCAAATAAAAATTGTAGTTACGTTATGCCATAAATATCTTAAGGTAGTTGTATCGTAAAATGTCTGAAAATGGATTTTCAGTGGCGATATCAGGAAGATATCTACATAAATTTGTTATTTATTGAAAAAACACTTTCTTATAACTTTTTGTTCAACTACCTAAGTAATAAATTTTAAGCGAAATTAAGAGAAATACATAATATTGCATACACGAAGATATTATTATAAATTGTAAATCTTCTATGCCCATATTTTCAAAACAAAATGGTCATTGACTTTGAAATTTTTGTATAATGTCTCTATATCAATCTTTATTACGACAGTAGTTTTTCATTAAAATTCTAAATGTGATTTAGAAGAAATTAAAAAGAATAGTTAGAAAAAGGAATTAATTATTAACTTCAGGAAACACGTGTGAAAAAATGTCATTTCCAGTTGCAAATATTTCAGCTTCTAAATAGTCAATCGTTTTCTAATTGCGCCAATAATTATGCCATGTTTAAATCTATGTATAGTGCGAGTTTCAGCGAATTCTGAAAAATTTATTTCACGCTACAACTACTTTAAGAAAGAGCATAAGTGAGCGTTACATCACTGCCTGGCAACTAGTTATGATTTTTCATCTCGTAACTGTAATTTCTTTGGTTTAATCATCGGTTAATCTATTTATCCAGCCGTTATCTAATTATTAAGAGAGAAGCAAGCGAAGTAAGCGTTGTATTACTGGCTGGCAGCGATTGTTAGATACAAAGTTGCTATCTGGTAGACACGAGAGGTGAAATTTTTACTAAAGCTGTTCACTAAATCGCAACGCCGTGCGTATCGGCGAGCTCCTTCGAATAACGATGACCTAAGCACTCAGCCGGTTCTCGGTACCGAAATGAACGGGTCTACGTGTATCGTCGGACTCAACTGTGTATCGTCAAATCGTAACTATCAATCACGGGGTGAACGGTGCTCGGCGCCATTGATTGATCGCACCTCGTCTCTCTCGCGAGCGGCTTCGTTTCCGCGTTCGCGGGGATCTCACTGGACTTGTCCGAGGGAGTCGGAAACGCGAGTCCGCGGGGGGGAGGGGGGGGGAAGAAGGAATGACACTCCTAGGAGAGGAAACGACACTTTCAAATTCGCCGTTTATCCCACCGACGAGTTTCATCGCGCGCGCGCGCGATTGCGTCTCGTTGCGATAATTGCTTCTATAATTAAACCCGATAATTGAACCTCGATAATTACACTCTCACGTTTAATTTCGATTGACTTATCTCCGCGAACGGATCTCACGCGCGAAGAACGGCGCACAACCGCCGTCGAGGGGCGGTAATGTAATTTCGCGACGGTGACCGTGATTTCGTTGAGTGGAAAAAAACAAGAGAGAGGGAATATTGAGAGGATACGGCAGGAGTCTGAGTGCGGACAGGCACTTCTCGTACGCGGGCCGCATCTCGCCGATCGGAGAGTTACTCTCTTTGTTTACTTTGCGCGGCGAGTCAACCGCTCGTGAAGTCGGCGCGAGCCGCATTCGCGCCCCAAAATATCCGATTTCCCGGCGATCAATTGACGCTCACCGGCACCGACATCGCACCGGCAGTCCTGAAAGTAGAATGAGGGGGACAGGATCCTCGCAGAGGATATTGACCTGGGTTCTCGCAATCTGGAGCACGACGGCCTCTCTTTCTCCACCTCTTGCTACCTTTCTCTCTTCCCCCTTCCTCGCTCTCTTTCTCCTTTTTTTCTCTCTCTCTCTCTCTCTCTCTTCCCCCCTTTATTGACCAGTTCGCCGTGTAGGTGAATCATAGGATTATTTGATGTCACGTGCGGAAATTTACTCGTTCCGAGAACTGTGATCGAGACGACACGCGTATCTTCCATACGCTCGCTTGTGCAACTACGAGACACTCGTGATTCGCGATAACGCACACGCGCCGCGTTGTTGCATTAACATTCCCCTTGATGCAAAGCGATATAAAACCTATCAAAAACTAG